CTGTTTGGTATACTGACTCCTTTTGCTTTCCCTTTTATCCGAGTTACCGGAGCAACCACTTAGAAACCTAATGCCTTAAATTTTAGAGTCTCTTATCCACATTCTTAAACTTGTTACTCTTTCCTCTTCATCATTTCTACTCTCCTGTTTCGTTTGTGAAATGTAGGGGAGTCTTAAAGATGGAGTCCATATTCAGATATTCATTCTAATAAGGCTGCAACTCTTCCCCTTCCAAGAGGAAGTTATCGCTAGATCCAATAGCCTTTGATAACCATCCATCCATCCAAAGATTGTCACCCTACTCTCCTGGGTTCCAGATTGAGAAGTAGAAGCAGCAGATGGAGCAACAGCAGAGAAGGGTTGATAACCTCAATTTCTTCTTCTTTTTTTTTTCTGGTACCAGGTATCGAACTCAGGACTTTGCACTTGCAAGGTATACCTCAATTTCTTCTTAATCTCTTCCTCCATTTACTTAATTCACTCATTGTGGCTGTCCAGTTCTCCCTTACTTCCTGAGATATAAAATAGTATCCAGACATACCAATAATTCTTTTATTTTGAATGAAATTTTTCTAAGAATCTATAAATACACCTATTTTTGTACTTCAAACAAACCTTCCTCTGGCCATTGTAAGGCAGGACTTTTATAAGTATACCTATTCCAAACATGAAAGAGTAAAATAATAAACCTTTTAGTTTTAAGAAAGCGACCCGCTGACAACATTCAGGGCTTCTGATATGTTTCTACTGTTAACCAATGGTGAATAAGATAGGGACTTCAAGTTCATATTACTCACTTTGCTCAATAGTGATTCAAGTTGTCAGTGTAGATTTAGAATTTTCCCTAAGAACTTAATCACATTGTGCCAAAATAGTTGGAAGGGAACATTTTTAGCAAATATCCATGGTCTCTTGCCTAATCCAAGGTAGCTACAAATCCCTGAAACAAATTCACTTAACAAAAGAACTCAATTAAAGTATACCTACCATGCTTATTGCTGAATCATTGGAATATTTATTAGTCAGCTTTGCCACTGCTGGGACAAAATACCCAGCACCCACAACCGAAAGGAAGACAGGTTTAATTCATCTTACAGTTTTGAGGGATTCATGCATGATCAGCTGGCTCAGACACAGAAACAGCACAGTGAATAGACCTGGTGCAGGAAAGCTCATGTCCTGGAGGCCAGGAAACAGCTGGAGTGGGGTGGGGGTGAGGGGCAGGGACGAGAATACACCCTTTTAGGACACGTCCCCAGTGACCCACCTCTTCTCACCAGGGCCCACCTCTTAACAACACATTCAGCTGCTAAACTCATCACTAGATTAGTCCAGTGATGAGTGTAGTTCCCCCATGATGCAATCATCTACCAAAAGGCCCACCTCTGAATACATGAAACTTTTATGGGGCATTTTAGATTTAAACCCGAACAGGATAAAAAAATTTTGTTCCCCAAAGGAACATCTAATTTACAAATACAGAATTAGGTAATTTTAATATTGAAGGGAAAAAACCTGACTGCATCCATATGTCCCATAAGTAGCTACGTATCTTTATTGAATTTTCCTCTCAATAAGGAATGAAAACAGTGGTTCTCTTTTGGTAGTCACCATATAGTTCATTTGCATCAGTAGCTACATTGTACTTACTCTGATATCCTGTTTTTCATAATGCTTTTATCAAACTTACTCTGATACTGTCATTCTTATCAGTACCTCCTAGAGTTGCCCGTTATATTGTATCTGGCACATGTGATTAGTCAAATCCTGCAACATGCTTCTGTAATGTTAGATTAAGTTCAGTCTCCCCAAATCTCTCTTAGTCTAAGTCCCATTTGCAATTTAGAGCTATCTGGTGGTTGTCTGCTAAGGCTTAAATATTATTAAGGATAATTCTGACTCTTGGTGGCTAACAGTGACTACAAGACAACAGCAACCATTTTAGGATTCCCTCGTTATCATGCATTTTTTCACCTGATTTGAGGCAAAGGTGGGGGGTAGCTGGGGAAATCTTGGAGACTCAAGGATCACAGCTTTGTACACCCCATTTGCCCATCTTATCTTTCCCTTTCCCTGTAGAAGACAGAAACATGAACATGTTCCATGTAAAATCTAAAGCTGGGCAGAGGATAAAAGCCAGCTGCTAATTGCATTAAGTGTAATTTCAAATTACTGTAGGGTTTTACTCTACCTGGATATAGAATTGCTATGTTTTCAAGAAAGCATGCCTACAACTTTTATAAAACATTGCCAAATGGCTCTCCCAAATAGTTACACCAGTTTACACTCCCACCTGTAATGTATGAGTTCCTACTTTCACACATTCTTGGCAACATCTGGTGTTTGCAGACTTTTATTTTTACCAATTTCATGGGTGTGAAATGGTGTCTCATTTTGGCTTTAATTTGCATTTCTCTACTATTGAACATCTTTTCATATGTTTATTGGTCATTTGGGTTTCCTCTTCTGTGAATTGACTGTTCATATCTTTGCCTTTAAAATCGAAACTGGTGGCAAGTTAGGTAAGTGCTCTACCACTGAGCTACATATGTCTTGGCCCTTTGAAAAAAGACAGGATCTCACCAAATTGCCCAGGTTGGCCTCAAACTTGCAATCCTAAGACATCAGAGTAGTCAGAATTACAAGCATGTGCCACCTTTTCTAATTTTGTGAAGGATATTGTTCATTAGATCAAGCTTGTAGTTGATATTCCTATCATTTAAATTCTTATTAAATGTTTTCTGTTTCATTTGTCAATATGTTTGTATGCTTAATGGATTTGTTAATTTATTCTAGTAATCCTGGGATCTTTTGTCTTACTAATATAGAGTTCAGAATTTCTATGGCTTCCTGTGAATTGTTCCTTTCTTACTATTATGTAATAGCATTTTATCTCTAATAATCTTTTTGTTTTAGGCACTAAGATTGATACAGCTGTGCCAGCTTTCTTTTCTTTTTCTTTTTTTTTCCCCCAGTACTGGAGATCAAACTCAAGACTTTGCACTTGCCAGGCAGGTGTGGTACCACTAAGCTACATCCCCGGCCCTGTGCCAGTTTTCTTTCATTTTTGATATGCTTCATGTAGCAGTTAAGGATGTGTTCAGTTGCAAAAAGAAAATGTGACTATAGTTGTTTAAACAAATGGGGGAATTTTTTTTTCAAATAACAAGGTTGGACATAGATATGGGCCCATCAGCTCAGAAACTCAGGCTCTTTATATTTTTCTGTCTACCATTCACATGTGCAATTTTTCATCATCATGCCTGTTTTTTCCCTATAAGGCTTTGCGGAGGGAGAGGAGAGGATAATGAGAATCACCTTTAATTTTGAAATCTCATAGTTCAACTTCCTGTTTTAGCATCTATAGAATCTATATGTAAGGGGTCTACTGTTCATACACATTTTATGGAAGCTTTTTTAAATAGAGGAAATCTAGAGTGAGTGAATGTGACAGTTGCCTTTAAGAAATGAAATTGCCAAAAAGAAAATGCCAGAACAATTAAATTGTCAACTCTCAGTAAACCAAGTATTATGAGTTTACTAGAAAGCATAATACAACAGATTTCAAAGCACTGGTGTACAGTAAAACTATAATAAGATTTTTGCAGTTGAGTATATTTAGGAATATTTGCTATATATGCTCTCTCAAGGGATACCATTTTCTGTAGTTTTTTGGAAGACTGATTAAATTTCATTGTTTCCCATGAAATGTATCATCACTTTATACCTTTTGCTGAAGCATTTGCAGGCTCTCAGGCAGTGTTCTCACCTAGAAAATGTGACTTCAAACTCACCCTTTCCTTATCCCATTCTCTGATACATGCATGCATCTGATTTCACCTCTCATCTTGCTCTGAACCATTGATAGGACTGAAACCACAGGCAGTCTGCATTTGAGCCTTCAACATCTGTAAAGCAAATGACTTCACTTCTGCTTTGTACTAAAAATAATTTCCATGTGTTAGATGGTTTTTGTGCTTCCTGGGGGACCCTAGAATAATATATTAGTATGCCTAATGTTTGATTTATGCTAAAATTTTAAAAGACATTTACCCACATTATTTTATTCAGCCCTTCCTATTCATAGAAGAAAAAAATGTGTAAGAAATGGAGCCCTCAGAGCTCAGACTGAAAAAGAAGGCAACTAATTATATTCAGAGCAGGAATTTTTTTGTTAAAGAGATTGGAATGAGTGTTATATTGAGTTATGAGATTAAGTTGTGTAAGCAGAGCCTGGTGCTTGATAAACACTTATTGAATGATTACACTCTGAGTTGGGCATTTTCTTTTAGGCACTCAGACTGCTAATCCAATGAATGCCCTTTCATCATCATTAATCCTGTCCTACACAATATTGTTGAACAAAAACTTGGTGTTATGGAAAGTGTTTGTTGTATGAAATTATGCATTGTGGCTGTTTTTCCTTTCAGTGAGCATGTGGAATGTAATTTTACACAGGCCTCCTAGTGATCTTCATATATCACTTCTATATAACTTATCATTTGGATTGAAATACTGTATACACATAAGAACTCTTGAAAATAAAGTTTTTTGAATTCATAACTATTAACTCTTGAAAACAGAAAGGGATTTGGAATTCATAAGTATTCCGTGCCACTGTTTTTACATTTTTTTTCCTATGTGACTTCTTTATATTTGAAATTCTTCTTTCCTGTGGTTGAAGCCCTTTTTTCCCTACACTGACCAAAAAGAGATTGGATCATTCTGACTAGTTAACCTTTACAGCCTTACATTTCAAAACTCACTTTTCTTTATTCTCTACATATGATCATTTTAATTTTCTTAATTTTTCTCACAGGTCTTGATTTTCCAACTAAATTAATTTTTCCTTATCCCATTCTGAGTTATGCAACTCCACCTTAAACTTCAAATCTCTTATTACTATTGTGATTATATGATCATTTCTGTTTATAAACTTGAATTAATTAAATTGAATTTAGGTTTTGTTGTGTTTTAAGTATTCTAAAATAATCTTTCAGCCATGGAAATAAAGAAGTATTTTCCTGCCGAGGAATAAAATTGGCAGTGGATTGGTTTTTGGAAAGAGGCCACAAAGATATTACAGTTTTTGTTCCTGCTTGGAGAAAAGAGCAGTCCCGACCTGATGCTCTTATTACAGGTAGGTTCATTACAGGTAGCTGTTTGTTCCTAGCTTCATATAATACCTGTCCAGGCATCTGGCACTCCAGTATTCTTAATGTTTCTGTTTACTTCATCTGTGTGACTTCAGCATTCTCTTGGGTGTAAAATTAAAGTTTTTTTTGAATTTGAAAATATCTTACTATGTTAACTAAACACTAATCTTTGCTATATAACTCAGGTGTTTTCATTTATGTTAGAAACATTGACTTGGAATTTTTTTAATTCTAGCTAGCCACGTTGGTGCATGCCTGTAATCCCAGCACCTTGGGCAACTGAAGCAAGAAGATCATAAGTTCAAGCCCAGACTGGACAATTTAGCAATCTACTGAGACACCCTGTCTCAAACTAAAAAGTGTGAAGCCCCAGGATCAATTCTCAATACAATCAGTCAATAAATAAACAAATAAATAAATAAGAAAACTGATTTTCATAGATATTCTGAGTCAGATACCTAGTCTAGCTTTCCCATTCACTACCCATAGGACTTTGGGCAACACACTGAATATGTTTAAATCTCCTTTTCTCCTAGGCTGTATGAAATTAGACTAGGTGGTAGATGCTGTCTTATGGCTACAGGTCAACAAAGACATATGACCCTGAGGTATTCTGTCTCCTCAGGAAGAAGGAACTGACCAGATCCCAGTAATTAGCATTCGTATTTTGTATTATCCTGTACAAGTTTCAGGCAAAGATGTTCTCTGTAATTACTGTTGAACATTTTATTCAACTTTAGCGACTTAACAATCAGTATTCTCTTCCTATCCTTCTCTCTACCTCCAATATTAACAAAAAAATGTGAGGAACCTGTATGAAGAGAATTCTGAAACTTTTCAAGTCAAAAACAAATGAAGAGACTACCTGCAATGTACAGAAGGAGAAGACTGTTTTAAGACTTTTATTTTATCTGCAATTATAGAATCATTAAATTAGGATAAGATGAATAAGAAAGTAATGGTACAGTCCAAAGCCATAGCCTATGTGATAATACACAGTGAAGAGCTGGGCATGGTGGCACATGCCTGTAATCCTAGGCATGGTGAAGTTGAGCAGGAGGATCACTGTGAGTTCAAGGCCAGCCTGAAGTACACAGCAAGACCTTGTCTCAAAAAGCAAAGTGGAGAGTTGGCATAATTCAACCAATAGTACCAAAATGTTGGAATAATTCTTTAGAAAAATATACTTGTTTAGGTTGTTTTTAGATCATACAGATTGATAAACATAAAGCTATTACTAGTATCCAAATGGATAAAATAATAGAAATTAGACAACTCTGGCCTGCCAAATAAGAAGGAAAAAAGTCCAGCCCCAGTAAATAAATCCAAATCTAAAAAAAAAATTTTTTTAAACTGATAATCTTCGGAGTTCTTAGGAAGCTACTCATACACTTCTGTGAAAATATAAATTGTTTCAACCTTTCTGGAAAACATTTGATCTTAAAATGTTAATAGAGTAGTCCTCCCTTATTTGAAGTTTCTCTTTCCACAGTTTTAGTTACCTAAAGTCTATTGTGGTCCAAAAATATTAAATGGAAACTTCCAGAAATAAATAATTCATAAATTTTAAATTAAGCACTGTTCTGAGTAATGTACTGAAACCTCATGCTGTCCTCCCCGTCCTGCCCAGGATATGAATCATCCTTTTGCTCAGCTCTCCAACACTGTATGTGTATCCCACCCTTTTCTCATTTGTAGTCTTTTCAGCTTGTCAGATTTGTGCTATGCTTGTGCACAAGTGACCCTTACTTTACTTAATAACGGCCCCAAAGCTCAAGAATTGTGCTGGCAATTGGACTGTGCCAAACATAAACTATAAAGTACTTCCTTTAAGTGAAAAAGTACAAATTCTCAATAAGGAAAGAAAATAAATTGCATGCTGATGTTGATAAGATCTATAAGATAGTTTGAGAAAGACCACAGTCAATACAACTTTTTAACAATGTACTGTTATAAGTGTTCTGTTTTATTTTTATTCTTGTTAATCTTTCCGTGCCTGATTTATAAATTGAACTTTATCATGGGTATGTGCATACAGGAAAAAAACTGTGTGTGTGTGTGTGTGTGTGTGTGTGTGTGTGTGCATGTGTGAAGAAAGTTACTAAGTAGTAAGGAGAAGTAAAGACCTCATAAAGCCACAGCTCAGAGGCAATACTGTTAACATTTTGGTGTATGTATTTCTTTATAGTCATTTTTTATATATTTAAAAATAAATTAAAAATTTTAGATTATAGATTCAGACCAGTACTTTTGTTGATCTTCCATTCATTTAACAAATACATAACAACCGCTATCTATGTTAACTTTTAGCCATATATACAGGGCTTTTTACTATGTGTGTTTTTAGGCATCCACTGGGGGATCTTGGAACATATACCCCATGGATAAGGAAAGACAATTGTACTCTTAGATCTACTAGTCCCATTTTAGGAAGTCCCCCCAAAAGTAAGCAGAGGTATAGGCAAATATTTATAATCAAAGATATTTAGTGCAGTGTTACTTTGAAGAGAAAAAAATGAAAAAAAAGTATACCCTCCATTTGAGGAATGGCTCAATAAGTTAAGATATATCTATATAATAGAATATATATTAGAATATTTCGGCAGCATTTTTATTGAGAAATTTTCTTTTACATAAAAGTCAGATTTTATTATTCTGTGTGTATATATATATGTACATACATTAACAAGTAGAAAAAAATACACAGATGACTAGAAGGGAATGCGCCAACAGTATTAACAGTATTGCCTCTGAGCGGTGGTTTTATAAGCTCTTTATTTCTCCCTTCTTCTTAGTAACTTTACTTTCCTGATTTTCTACAGGGAGCTTGGAATACTTTGGTAATCAAGGGTGGGGTGATAAACTAAAAAGAAAAGGCAATGTTTATTTGAATGACTTGCAGTCATATTGAGCAGGACAGGAATATGAGATCAAGAAGGAAAATGATAATACATAGTGTGAAGTGTGGCTGAGTTTGATTTTAAAAGACCAATATTCCAGGTCTCTGAAATACATCAGCATGAAGTTTACTTTGAAAAATGCCAGAACTATTATCAGAGGATTTTAAGTGTTTCCTCCCCCAAGGTAATATTTCCTTGAGTAAAGCTCTCAACCAGATAATACCTGATAAATCAAATAGTCCAGTACTCTTTCAGAGTGCCAAAAAAAAGACTTGATTTAAAAAAGTTAGTTTTCAGAGTTACAGATTCAGACTAGCTATGCTGAATTTACTAGCTATACTGAAATTATATACAAGTTAAAATTATTTATGTGCCCTTTCAACTTCATTAACTGTTCCATAAATGCAAATTAAGCAATATGAGGTGATGACTGTTAGGCTGCCATACTTCTCAGGCATATCTAAATACTTTACAGATAAGGTTGATTGCCCTGGATTACTCATGAACAAAATGCAATGAATAAACCAAAGACTTCAGAGTGTACATCTTTGAGTAGCTCATTTATGTATTTATTCCACAAACATTGAGCATCACTGATGTTTTTCATGGGCTATGTACTAATGGATATAAGATTAATGAGAAGTGGTGCCTGTCCTCAAAATGTTTATCAGGGAAACACACAAAGTAATTACAATATGACAAATTCTATAATTGAATCTGGGCTTTTGATTTTGTATTTGTTTCCTGTGGTTTTTAAATGAGATCAACAATGACATACAGCTATTAAAATTAATTTGAAGAGCACAGTATTTATTTAGAGCTTGCCAAGCCCTGTGGTAGGTGTCTGTATATGTCAGCTTATTTACTTTGATAACCTGTTCCCTGCATTTGCAGACTTGAAGAAACAGGGTCAATATCATTTAGATTGCCAGATGTGGAAAATAGTGAAACCTGAGATTTAGCCATGGTGTGCTGATTCTGTTGCCCACATTTCTCTCACTAATGGTTTGCCTTGCTTTTCTATTCATTTTCTCTTTTTGGTACCAAGAATTGAACTCAGAGCCTCACACTTGCCAGGCTGGCACTCCACCGCTGAGCTACGTGCCTGGCCTGCTTTGCTTTTCTAAACCAAAAGTTCTTAATGAACTCATTTGTCGGAAACATCTTCAAATCCATATGCAGTATTACTGCTAACCAGATCATTCTTTCACTTCCTGATACCCTGATTAAATTTCTGCTGTGGTTCAGTTCCACCCTTGCTTACCTGCTTTACCTATTTGTCTGATAGGTAGAGAAAGCTCTTGAAGGCCGGGGATTTAGCTCAGTGGTTCCACCGCCTGCCTCACAAGTGCAAGGTCCTGAGTTTGATCCCCAGTACCAAAAGAAAGAAAGCTTTTGAGAAGAAGTCATTCTTAACCTTAGTTGCCATTGATACATAGCACAGCACATGGACTGGACATGTAGTAATTGTTAGAGATGGAATTTTTTAAATTTGCAACTGCCATTTGTTACTGCAGTTTTTTAGAAGAAAAGACACAGAGCATTAGCCAACTCTGTTACAACACTTCTGACTATCGCCACCTTTCAAAGATTTGTTCCCTTTGCTACCTCTACTACTTCTACTATATTTTTCAGTTTCTCTGATCATTGCATATGTTGATTAGAAAAAAATAACCCCAAAATATACAATCTTGGGAGGATAACACCTGTTTATTCACACCTGATCCTTACCCTTCTTCTTTGTGATGTCATTGTGCCAGGCATGTGTAAGAAGCTCTGGTGGCAGTGCTTGTGGCTCCAGCTCTTAAGCAAAAGCTTCATGGAATGAGAATCAGAATTTTTTAGTCCTGTTGCAAATTTTATATTCTTCATTTTTTTTACTACTTTTAAAGTCTTTATTATTGAAATTCCTAAAAGAAAAATATTGGGAGTTATAAATTATGCTAAATCTATAAACTATAAGTCATAATCTCCAAATACATGATTACGTATATTCTACAGAAACTCTATAGAATATTCTGTATATTCACACAGAAACTCACAGTGTATGATTTCCCATGTATGTTGTATATATTTATTCCTGAAGTTCTACCTATTATTCTTGCAGATCAGGAAATTTTACGCAAGTTAGAGAAGGATAAAATCCTCGTGTTCACACCATCCCGAAGAGTTCAAGGGAGGCGAGTGGTGTGCTATGATGACAGGTTCATTGTGAAGCTGGCTTTTGAGTCAGATGGTATAATTGTATCCAATGATAACTACAGGGATTTGGCAAATGAAAAACCAGAATGGAAGAAGTTCATAGATGAGCGATTATTAATGTATTCATTTGTCAATGACAAGTAAGTAAACCAGTGATATTGCTTCCTTGAAAATACATGCGTAACTATCCCAGACAACTGCTACATGATCCTTCTTTTGTTGGCACTGGCTAGACCTAAGACAGATTTCTTCCAACACTGATTACCCACTGATTTTCCTGGAAATCAGGAGAATTGCAGGCCCCCAATCACTGACAGAGCACCTGCAGCAGAAGCTTCATAGATTCTCTTTCTGAGGAATCTGTTAACAGCCAACAGAAGGCAAGTTCCATCTTCACCCCTTCCCCATGAAAGCTACCTTATAAGCCAACTTGGGGTTCTCATAGCTTACTAAGTACCTGAGTTTTTTTTAAGTTGTACCGATGTGAGACTCTAGTCATGATCATAGAATATAAGCTGATGGACAAATAACATGAACAAGAATGTTCATGAAAAGTGTTCGTAACTATGTAGAAAAAGTTCACTTGTTAGTCAGAAATGCAATGTGAATCTAAAATGTTTATTTTTCTCATCTGTTTAATTCACAAAAACATTTTGTATATGCCTAGGGGAGAGAGGGGCGGGACAGAGGATATAAAAGGAATTAAATGAGTCATGTACATACTCCAGCTATACACAAGGAATGGAAACATGTACTGCAAATAGGTACAAAAAGAGAGGAAGGGGATCAAGAGATGGGTGGAGGGATGAGGCAGGGGAGGGAAGGGATGAAAAGGAATGAAGATGTGTTATGTACAAATACCAACTCCCCACAAGGAATGTGAACATTATGTACTGCATACATGTACTAAGTTTTTAGAAAGATACATGTAAACTGATGTACAACTTAGTAAAGATTATCAAACTTAAAGTATGTTTACTCTCTCAACCCAATAATTTCAGTTCTTGGACAATATCATGAAAAAAAAGAAAGACCAGATACATTCATTACTATATTATTTATAATTGCAATAATTGAAAGACAACTAAACATAATATAGAGAAATCAATAAACTTACATATCCTACTAAAATATTATTTAGCTGTTCAGAATAATTATTATGAAGGCTATTAAATATGGAAAAATATTGTTATGTTAAAAAGATAAAGTATAAAATGCAGACATAGAATAAAATGTTACTAGAGTTGTGAGATTGAATGACTGTCTTCTGTTTCTTTTAACCTTGCCATATTATTTTTATAATAATAACATTGTAGGGCCGGGGATTTAGCTCAGTGGTTTCGCCGCCTGCTGCGCAAGCGCGAGGTCCCAAGTTCAATCCCCAGTACCAAAAAAAAAATAATAATAATAATAACATTGTACTTGCTAAGTGGTATTAGGCATTTTGACTCCCTTAGGAGCTTATACATTACTTACATTATTCTTATTTTGTTTGTAAATACTTGGGCTTCTTTCAAGTTCAAACAGTAACATAGTGAGTAGTCAGATTCCTCAGTCATAACTTTTATTCATTATGCACACTATGAATTCTTTCCTCCATTGGACAGTCAATCCAAAATACTAAACTTACTTCATTAAGATTTTTTTATCTCGGATTAGAAGCCCATTACTGTAGTGGGAAGAGAATAGACTTCAGATACACTTGAATCTTGACTATTCTATGAGATGTTAGATAACAATTACTTAATTCTTCTGAATCTAAGTCAGGAAAGTTTATTAAACCATAAAATGGAGCTAATAATTTGGGATTATCCTGACAACAAAATGAAATTGTGTGTGTAAAGTATCTGACACGTAATGGATGTCTGCTAAGTCTCTATATCCTATTACATTTTTCCTCTCCTCCCCTGCCTTCCTCAGCTGTTCTGCCTATCTCCCTACTTGCCCCAAACTATTTCACAATACTGATGTTAACAGAGCTCTCCTAAAATAACATCGTAATTATTTCCTAAAATTCTTATAAAATCCCAAGACCTACAGGAAGAAAAATTAATTAGAACATGCTAGATCAAAACTGATCTGAATTAAAACAAATTTAAGTGCACCTTAAAACATTTTGTTTCATCTTCATTAAGAAGGAGTATTTCATATACTAATATCCTTTATCCTTTAAATGTTGAATTAAAACACTGGGATTAAAATTTCAAAAATGTACTTTAGAGTGAATAAATCTTTGTACTCTATCTTTAGAATGAGTTAATAGCCTCCTACTTAGGTATCATCTTTTTTTATTATCTCCGGAACAGGTTCATGCCCCCTGATGACCCTCTTGGCAGACACGGCCCAAGTCTGGATAATTTCCTAAGGAAGAAACCTATTGTTCCTGAACACAAAAAGCAGCCTTGTCCATATGGTAACTTTTTATGGATATTTAATATTTGCCTTTAGGATATAATATATTGTTAAACTTTTGTTAATAAAAACAAACATTTAAGATTTTGGATGGCATAATATGTGGTTCTTTTTTTTTTTTTTTTTTTTTTTTTTTGGTACCAGAGATCAAGCTTGTGACCTTGTGCTTGTGAGGCAGGTGGCAGAACCACTGAGCTAAATCCCCAGCCCCCAGTTCTTTTGATTGTAATTAAATTTAAGAAAATGTCTTAGCTATGAAAAAGAATTATTTTTAACTACTTGGGCTCATGCATTTCCCCGAATTAAGATATGGTTTAAAACTCAGTAAATTCTACTTGAAGTTAGTTTTAGTGGGGTGAGAATTTAGAATTCTTATATCTAGGCACAAATCAGATGAATGTGGCTTTATCACATTACAGTAGTATGGTTACTCTTCACAACAAAATTTCCTACTGATTATAAAGTCCTGCTGAAAGAAGAGGCAGGTATGAACTAAGAGAATGGGATATTAGCTAGAACCTGTGGAGGTGATCATTCAGCCAACTTTCTTACTGCCCTTGATAGTAAGGAAGTACAGACTGAAAAGTAACACTTCCCAAGAGTAAGAAAGAGTAGTGCTTAACTCATCTCCCATTTCTGCCTTTGTTGCTTTCACAAGTTAAATAGTAGTGCCATGTTGACTTTTCAGGATCTGATGGTATGCTCCTTTGCCTAATTTTACTCTGCATAGGAAAGAAGTGTACCTATGGACACAAGTGCAAATATTATCATCCTGAAAGGGGCAGTCAGCCTCAGCGTTCAGTAGCTGATGAACTTCGTGCCATGTCTAGAAATTCAGCAGCCAAAACTGCAAATGAAGGAGGACTGGTGAAAAGCAACAGTGTTCCTTGTAGCACTAAAGCTGATAGCACTTCTGATAGCAAACGAGGTGCTCCAAAGAGGCAATCAGATCCGAGCATAAGGACTCAAGTCTACCAAGACCTAGAGGAAAAGCTTCCCACCAAAAACAAATTGGAAACCAGGTCTGTACCTTCCTTAGTTAGTATACCGGCTACTTCTACTGCAAAACCCCAAAGCACTACACCTTTAAGCAATGGCCTTCCATCTGAAGTTCATTTCCCACCTCAGGATCAAAGACCACAAGGACAGTATCCTCCAATGATGATGGCAACCAAAAATCATGGAACGCCAATGCCTTATGAACAGTATCCAAAATGTGACTCACCTGTTGACATTGGATATTATTCCATGTTGAATGCATATTCAAATCTGAGTATCTCAGGCCCACGAAGTCCTGAAAGGCGTTTCTCATTAGACACAGATTATAGAATAAGTTCTGTAGCTTCTGATTGCAGCAGTGAAGGGAGCATGAGCTGTGGGAGTAGTGACTCCTACGTAGGTTACAATGACCGCTCCTATGTCAGCTCTCCTGACCCACAGCTAGAAGAGAATTTGAAGTGTCAACATATGCACCCTCACAGCCACCTTAATTCCCAGGCTTTCCTGCAGAACTTCCATGACCCTTTGACCAGAGTGCAAAGTTACAGTCATGAAGAACCAAAGTTCCATCACAAGCCTCCTCTTCCACACTTGGCTATGCATCTGCAGCACCCCACTGTGGGCGCCCGGTCCAGTTGTCCTGGTGATTACCCCTCTCCTCCAAGTTCAGCACACTCTAAGGCACCGCACCTAGGGAGGTCCTTAATGGCCACAAGAACAGACAGCATTTCTGATTCTCGACTCTATGATAGTTCTCCTTCAAGACAAAGAAAGCCTTACTCCCGCCATGAAGGGCTGGGAAGCTGGGATAGGCCAAGTTATGGGGTGGATGCATACGGGTATCGGCAGACATACTCCTTGCCTGATAACTCTACACCACCATGTTATGAGCAGTTTACCTTCCAGAGCCTGCCTGAACAGCAGGAGCCCACCTGGCGAATACCGTACTGTGGAATGCCACAAGATCCTCCAAGGTACCAAGACAACCGAGAGAAAATTTATGTCAACTTGTGCAACATCTTCCCGCCTGACCTTGTGAGAATTGTCATGAAAAGGAATCCTCACATGACAGATGCCCAGCAACTCGCTGCAGCCATTTTAGTGGAGAAATCACAGCTGGGTTATTGAAAGATGATGCATCTTTGTGGTGTTTAGTAGTTTTTTTGTTCAGCTCAAATGCTGAGGGAGGTTTGCTACAATAGCACATGTCATCTCCTTCTCAGCAAGGAGGTTATATAGTATCCATTTATGTGAAATACTGTATCATGGAATCTGTACGTACAGCCCCACATGGTGGAAGTATCACAAAATTGCTTTACATTCAAACTTTTTTTTAACATTTCCTTTTTAAAGCTATATCTTTGGCTGGAAATTTATCCAGTTTGATTTAATAGATGTATCTGTGATCTTTGATATTAATCTTTGGTGCATCAGGGGTTTATATGCAGCACTTTTTATCCTTGTTTCATGTTTTATTAACTTGGTGTTTGTCTATCAATTGCAAGCAATTACAATACCTTCAGAATGTGGAACCTTTGACTAGACCCAGCAAAATACTTTTTCAAGCCAAGCTTAATTAGAATCTTTTACAGCTCTTTAAGTTATTTTTATTTGGGGAAAGTGGGCTTCTTTGTCCTATAATCCTTATTTATAGAAACAAAGATATACTACAGCACTGACTTTATATTTTAAACAAAATCTAAGTTACCAATTTATGTTGAAATGGGTAACATATATGTTAGAATGATTTACAATATGGCACTTTTATTGTTTTATTTTTGTTTGGATTTTTTCCTGATAAGAAATTAGTTAATTTAATGGTCAATTTAAAAGAAAGCAGATGCAATCAATGGAAAAAATTATTTCCATTTTTTTTTAATGAATAAGGCAAAAGCCGTAACTGTTACAGGTTTAGAGCTTTGTTATCCAGCTATGATGTGCTTCTATAGAAATGGAATTGAATTCCTAGATTCTCATTAATCTGTGTTTTTAATGTTTGTTTTTTGTTTTGGGGCACAACAATACTGGATAAATAACCCTTTCACAGTACTTGCCTGTTTTTAATAAATCTAATTATTCTCAATGCAATTTTATATTTAATATACTCTAGCTTTCCTGCTATTTATCAAGGCTGGCCTGAGATGGTTTTATGTGTTGAGGATATGCAACATTTATTGATACTGCACTATAGAAATAGTGATGGAGGAGTTGTAAATGGTAACTTAAAATTTTTGTAAGATATTGTATATTTTCCATTTTCCTGAAGGTAGTTTTTTGGAGGGCCTGTTATATTATTAAGGCCGACTCTTGCCACAAATAGTGTAGTTTTAGATACAGACTACTGTCTGTTCTAGTATTAGTAAGGGATATTTCTGGTTTCAAACTCATGGGTTTTGCTTATTGCAATTACATTTCTGCAGATCAGAAGATGGATTTTGCAGTTAGTGGCAGACAGTTGTGTGACTGATATAACTTGACTGTTCCTCCAGACTCTGAATTTTACATAGTGTAATACACACATTCAGATCTGTTTTTGTAGTCTGCTTGGATGTTCTAGTCATTTGGATTATTCTGCATGCTACAGATTGAAGTAAAGCCCTGAAAAACCAGAAAGTACCTTTTACTGTTGATACAAATTGTATCTTTTTAACTATAAGAACTATTTTGATTTGTAGATCTAGTTAAAAACACAAATGTGTAACTATGATTAGACTTTTGGGCAACATTTTATCCCTTATTTAAATACAAATTTTTAAAATAAAATTGAAGTCTATTATTGATGAGGTAGAAAATAAAAGTAACAATTTAGGTAAATAAAAGTGTCTGTCTTAGTTTTATATAATATATTAAAACATTAATTAAATTTATTGGCATTTTCTTTCTTCTAAAACTTATCTAGTGTGAACTTTACTAAAATAAAGGTAAAATGCTGCCTGAAAAATAATGTCCAAGCATCTTTGACTAGGATAACATTTTTACTACTTATGTAACACTGTGTGTTGCATGAAGTAGGATTTGGGTATACAGTAAATGCTTCTAAAAGGCATTGTGCATATTGACATATCCAATAATCTGAACCATGTTCAGCAAACTTAATTCAGGAAAGTGATGTTCTACACAATTATTGCTGTTGTGCTTGAAGTAAGCGTGGCCCGCATCTATACCCAAAGATAATGCGGGTGATGCCACACAAACCATTTTGAATGGTGTCTGTCTGAGAGTGACCCTACTCACTTGTGAAATTGTTCTTGATTTTTGTCATTCATTATCTATAGAAAAAGTTTAAATGTGCCGGCAAAATGAGTGCCAAAAATAGGGTTACCAATCTGTATTACCTTTAATTTTAGTCATATTTTAAGATTTTATAGTATGAAATCACTTCTAAATTATACATGTAGGTTTTGCTTCCATTTTCTTCATTTTAGCATTTTAATTATTTGAAGATTACTAAACTTTATTAAATGGTTTTAAATAATTTCTTATGTTAAATGGGTGTGACATTACATTTGGTTTAATGTTTTTAGTTGGTTGTTTATCATTATTTTTGGAAAAATAGCATACCCTGCCATCAGGTATACTGAAATGAGTATCTCTGAACCTCTCACAACAAAACTGTTCAGTGTAATTAGTTGTACATTAAGAAATAGCAGCTTTTTTGTGTCAAGAAGACAATTTGTCCTCCCCCGCTTTTTTTTTTCTGAAACACCAACATTGCTTTCAGAGATTAAGAATGAGATGATAGGCTGACTTTAGGTAAAGCAAATTCTTGTTCTCTAAAGCTGTAAGGTAAAAGGAGTCCATTACTAAATTAAATCCATAGCTGACTGCAAACCTTTACTTTAGCCACAACTTTCTTCCTAGTCTCTAATCCCTATTTACCAGATCTGCTAATACATAACCAGAAAGAGATATGTTAATAAGTAACGAAGTTGCCAAAAGTGGTCAGCTGATAGAAAGACGATCCAGACTGGACTATTCTGCCCCTGAATAATCGACAGTTGACTGTACTTTACAAAGTAATTAGCCAGTCTGTTGTCTGTGTGTCTTGGTCCAGAGGGAGTAGCACCCAACTGGCCAAATACTGGCCCTTAGTATTTCCTCATTTCTTGCATGTGATGCAGATATTTTCAGTCTCATTTTTATGATCCCTATCCTGATAGTTTGTCAGTGACCTACTAATTACAAGAAATGCTCACCAGTATAAAATATTTGATTCTGGTGGAAACTTGAATTTTGTGTTTTTATGAAAATGAATTTATTTGAATATGTAATATAACTAAAGAAGTGTTTTATATATACATACATATTTGTTATGAAATATTAAAAATGGAGGGATGTTTCTTCTGGTGGTTAACATTTCCCTGATCATACTGTTTCCTTGAGTTGTGGGTGACCAAGTATGGGGTCTGAATGACCAATGATAAGATTTAGAACCACTTTAATGGAAAGTAATTCTTCACTGGTTTTATTCCTTGTATTTTTAAAAAAATTATTTTGATAATTTTAATAGAATGTGTAATTTTAAAATACACACAAAAATTTTAAAGTAGTATTGATTATACAAATAATTATTTAACATGTCTCTTATGGATATATCTGTATGTAAATAGTAATATATTTATAAAACAAATATACTTCATGTTGTAGTTCTTAGTTTGTGATCCATGGGAGGATGACCCTGGGTGGGTGACTGTGACTGTGTATGCATGAGTATTTACGTATTGGAAACTCAAGCTATTTTCCCTGACTTAATGGTATTTGCTCTAAAGTATATTTGGTTTTGTTATTCTTTCTGCTGTCCAATTTTCTTACTCAAGATAAAATGAGATATATGGTTTTCTGGCCATTCTGTTGCTGTGTGGCTAATCCCACTTTGTTATACTCTCAATTCCTGGAGAATTCCTGAGTGACCCAGAATCAAAACAGATTAAGGCTAGAGATAATGCTTCTGTTCCAAGTATATTGAAGATGAAAACTCATCTGCAATGTTAAGTTTCAAAATTATATACCAATGAATAAAATGAAATATAAAAAAGGTTGGAGTACACACATAGACTAAGGAAAAGCAAAGTGTTAACAAAGAGTAAAGCAGCATAAATTATTTTATATTGGTCTAGGAAAGCCTCCTAGAGTAAGTGTTGACAAACTTTCTGTAAAGGATCAGATAGTAATTAGCTTTTCAGAATCAAATGATCTCTTAAAAACTGCTTGCTCTTGTTTTTATAGCATAAAAGTACCACGGACAATATGTAAATGAATGTGACTGTGTTCCAGTAAAACTTCACAGAAACTAGCTGGGTTGGTGCATATGGCAGGGGATCACAAGTTTCAGTCCCACCTGGGAAACTTAGCAAAACCCTATGTTAGAGAACGTAGCTCTGTATGATGGTCCAGGATTTAATCCCCAATAGGGGAAAGTGAGGGTGGCACTTCATTTACAGACACAGACAGCAAGCCATATTTGGCCTATGAACCATCCCTAATCTCTGCCCCAGAGGAGAAAAACGAGCATATTAAACAGTAAATTCTGGTACTGCGTATGTGAATGTAAGAAATAATTGTATTCAATAATTAGACATTCAAAGAAAATCTGATAGTTATTGATATTCTTCAAAAGATGATTGTGAGATAGTCATATACAGATGACTATCATACAGGTGCACTTGTAAATTTTAAAACTGGCCACACCTAATATTTATTAGAAATATTTCTTGTATTTAATCAGCCAAAAAGTCTGTAGAAAAGATGTTTTAAAAGTACTGAAATTTTTTTCATAAATTTTACATTTCTGTTGATAAATGGGAATCCTTTACCAATCTTTTGGGTTTGTTTTTTTTTTAATGACCTCATGGACAGAAATTGTTGCATTTTTGAAAGTTAACATATAACTAGCCACAATTTTTTTTTAAAGATTCTATTTATCAATTACTTTTTTCTGTTCTCTTTGTTTGGCTCCTAATAAATGACATATCTGCCCTTTGAAGAAGATAAACATACTGTAATTTCACACCTTTTAGCTTGTATAAAATTAAGAATTGTGACTGATTATTGCTTTAATGTGAGTGTATTTGTTACACTGTGATTCTTTATAAGAAACAAAGTGTATCTCTGCTTTCCCTATCCAATTGTTTAACATAGACTTTTGTAGACATCTTAGCACTGTCCATGGTGAGTGATATTCTTAATATAATCATGTATGATTCTGAATTCACTAGAAGTACACACTGCTGAGCATGTTCATTTGCTATGCTTCATGCATGGTGTTACAGTAATTATAGTCACTTAAGTAGTTATACTTTCTTTTAAAATTGGAATACAACTCTAGCTTTTTAACAGTTTATTGTTTTAAATAGCTACTTTATTTCTTTAATGTTTTCTGTAAACTTGTGAATTACTGCTGTTATAATATTCTTATTATTAGAAGTGGCTTTTCCCCTAAGATCTTTAGTCTTTTAGATTCAAAACAACTTAAGGTTTTGACCGTTCGGCAGTAGAAAATATCTATGCATGTTTTTATTTAGTTTTGTAAAATTGTGTGGTTTTACTTCTTAAACTATGTACTAAATTTTCTGTCCCAAGTATTTCAGATGAAAAACAAAATGCTGACCATTAAAGCTTTTGCCACCTTTCTTTCTTTCTTTCTTTTTTGGTACCAGGGATTGAGCTCGGGTCCTTGCACTTGCAGGGCAGGCAGTGGAACCACTGAGCTAAATCCCTGGCCCTGCCACCTTTCTTTCTAAAATGGCTTCTATCTCAAAGGAAAAAGACATTGAAGAGCAATGGTTTATATTTATAAAGACTATGTTTTAGATTCCCTTCAGTTTTTTTAATTATAAATTTTCTACATATGTAAACTATTGAAAAACATGTGGACTTCTGCAGAGATAGTATTTCAGTGCAAGTGTACCAGGTTACTGGTTTTATCTTTCCCTTTTAGTTTATTTTCTCCCAAAGCATAGCTATATGCCAATAGTATTCCTTATTTGATTCTGCTAATTTTTCCTACAGGAAAAGTAAAGCAAAGAATATGTTTAGAGCAATTATTGAATAAACTAATGTGATTCTATTTATCTGTGTGTTTCTGTAATGGAATTTTTACAATTCAAAGGCAATATTTTTAGACCTACTGGAAATCTGTTTCAAAATAGCTGTAGGATTCTGCCAGTGAGGGAGAAAAAGTTAAAACATTGATGTTTTTAATGGTGATTTGTTTTTGTTTCATAGAGAAATTGATCTCCTCTGGCAGCATGGATGCTAAATAAATGAAATCATTATCTTTAGTCCCACAGCTTGCTTACATTCAGTAGTTAATAACATGATGAGTGGTCTGTAGGGTAAGCATGTGTTCAATATCAATGTAAATATTGAAGCCAAAATTAATTCCCATGAAAACTGAAATTAAATGTCAGAGACAACTAGCCAACTTATGGTGAGAGTGTTTTCTTTCTAGTCTGCTACTGAAGTGCTTGTTTCTGGTGATTTTGAAGTGTCATCAGGTGTTTGGCTAAGAGACTGATTGTTAATAGACACCCTTGGCCAGTGAATTTATAAGAAATGCTGGATGGGCACTGGTGTCCTTTTTCTTATTAGGAGGACTGGCAGGTGATCAAAAAGTATTCCAAAGACTCCTCCTGGTAAAGTGGTTTGTACTAGCTGGTGTACCAGCTTTGAACAGTAATATGAAGCCTCAATGAACACCGGGGCTTGGAGGACCAAGGCAACTCCCTTCAGGGAGTTCACAGTCTTGTAGTCAGGCCGGAATCTACAGGGTAATACAGTCAACCTGAGTGTTTTGTTTTGTTTTTAATAGAATATGTCATAATGAAGAGATGGAATGTTTTCTTTGATATTTAAGACTAAAAACCTTGACCACTGTGAGAAAATGTTCTGTTTCTGAGAAATGCTTCTGTGGATTTGAAGAGATTACAGATAGCTGTCAGGTATATTTAAACATTGTGTTTGAATCCCAGTTCTGCACAGATTATTATGGCATGTATTATATATCACATACACAATATGTAGAATTGGGGCAGTAGTCTTTGAGAGCCTTTCAAACTCCTTCATAAAACGATGCTAATCCCTCTCTGACAGGTTTATTGTAGCCAAGTGAATGGTAGTGGACATGAGAATAATTTAAAGACAGATAAAAATAAATACAATGCTATGTCCACCCTATTCTTGCTGGAGAGAAACAGGAATTTTTATTTTGTCTCTGCTGCTCTAGAAAGCTATGTCTCCCCAACCCTATTGTTCTAATAAATGTCTGTCAATGGAAATACTCTATTTCAGATACAATCACAAAAAGAAATTCTAATGACTTTATGATTTAACATACTTTCGTTCTTTGTCAGGATATGAGATACTGTTTTATTTTAGACACATAAGTTTTCTCTTGCTTTTCAGACTTTTGCTTTTTATTTTTTTCTAAAATTGCCACTTGCCACTGTCAGGTATTTTTCCCGCACTTAATTATCTTAGATTCTTAACTGAGATCTTATGGATTTAGACAATATATTTTGGATCTGTCAGCATATTTTATTATTGATGTTGAGTTGTTATCAGAGAATTCAAAATCAGCCTTCAATGGAATAGGCTACCAGCTACTTCAAGGCTGAGCTGAAAGTCTGGGAGATCATGAGACTGAATTACAGTGTTAACTAGAGCAAGTACTTTCTCCCTACCTTGTAACTATTGTCTAAAGAGAAAAATACACATTGATGAATTAAGTAATGTTTGGGAAGGGGGATTGTTAAAAACAACTATGATGGTGAATTTATTCAAAACAACAAAATACCTGATCTGGGCCTTTGATGAGTTAAAAGTAAGTAGTAGTATTATCCCTCAGCCTCAGGCTGAGAACATTTTTCACTGTAGTGTTTGAAAAGGCTTTTAAAGTAATGTTTAACCATTTAATATTTCAAAAGTTTCCTGAAGTGTTTCATAGTAACCTTTTCAAAAACATTCTAGATGCAGTCATGAGCCTTGGAGTAGGAATTCTTGTTCTTTGCCTCCTAGATGGTCAGCAGGCTCGCAAGTCACTAAATGGAGTAAGGACATCACCCCATTCCCATCTTCTAGGGTTGTTAAGACTAAATTGAATTGGAACAAGTAAAACCCTTTAGATATGGAAGTCCATAGTGTGTGCTGAATAAGTGAATATAATTGTTACGTAAATGATAGGATCCTTTAAATGCTTATCAATTTTCAGACTTCAGTGTTCAGTAGAATAGTTAGAATTCTGACAACTGGATATATTCAATGATGAGGTGATGAGGTGATTTTAGGATTTCAAGAGTGACATTTTAATCTTCAAAGGATTATTGGACCCCATTTTCTTGCTACCCCATCACTGGGCTCTACTTGTTTGAAGGGTTTTTCTCTGTATCAGAGTGAAGAAATAAATGGATAACAAATAATGATTATAAAAAAGGTCTTTCCAGAATCTTAGAGTTCCGTGGTTCCTGCACTGTGTTACTAACACCCTTCTGAACTTCACTTTTATTCCTGAAGGTGGCCCAGCACATCTATCTGCACATCCCCCACCCCCATGCCCTTCTAAAAGAACATGTCAGACCCCTACCACAAGAACTTGTGTAGCCAGTCTGGTCAGAGCAATGGGTATTCTGGGGGTTAAGTGGACAGTGTACCTTTTTGGGAAGATAGCACATGACACTGGGAGATTGTTTTTCTTCTTTAAACATTCTCTCCTAGTTCATAAATGCTGCCCTCCAAATTGGAGAAATCAAACTGGCATAAAGACCACTCATATGAGTCCAATACTCGCCAGATGTGGTGGTTCACACTTGTAATCCCGGCACTCAGGAGACCGAGACAGTAGGATCACCACTAGTTCAAGGCCAGCCTGGGCTATATAGTTCAAGAACACCCTAAACTATATAGCAAGACCCTGTCTCAAAAAAGAGTCCAATACTCAGTATACATACATGTGTAGCTCTGTGATGCTGAGCTACATCCCCAGTGTAGTACAATATGTCTACATAATTTTAAATCTTAATGAAATAACCATTATCCCTATTTTATTTTATTTTTGGCACCAGGGGTCAAACTCGGGACCTTGTGCTTGCAAGGCAAGTGGCAGAACCACTGAGCTAAATCTCCGGCCCTCATTATCCCTATTTTAGAAATGAGAGAACTAAGACTCAGCAAGGTTAAATCTTCCAAAATTCCTCTCCCCTGCTTTACTATACTGCAAGACAGTGCTAAGAATGGACCTGTGACCATTCCCTGGGTTATCCTACAAAGATTTAGGTCTAACGAATGAAAGCCGGCTATAACTGCCCATTCTTTAACATTGATAACTACCCAGGAGCAAAGACAGGAAAATGTAAGATTAGACTTACTTCTCTACTTCAGTAGACCCACACAGTCTCAACACTCTCCTTTCATGTATAAACAGTCATGACAAAGATGTCACTTGGAAGAAAAGGATTCTCAGAGATCTGCCTGTCCTAAGGTGACAGTGATGGCCAGGTGACCAGGGTTTCATGCTAAAGCCCCAGAAAAAGCAAAGCGCCCACTACTTCTGATAGCAAGAGTAGTTAGTTCTCTGTCGTGGAAAGAGATTACCTTAGAGCCCATGCTCCTGCCTCCATTCCTCAGAATTCTTTGCAGTCCCAAACAGTAAAAGCCAGCACATTTATTTCTAGTGTTTCCCATCATGCACAGAGACCTTCTCTGGTATCTTTTGAGAAGGCCCATTTAGCTTTCAGTGTCCAGATAATGCCCACTGTAAACACTTTATGTTGAAGCAGCTGACATTTGCTTTCTATTTGCACAAATTCAGCATGAAATTAGAAATAGGAATATTTAGTTAGGTAGCCAAACAGATTCCTTTCCCATTTCCCCAGGAGAGCTCAGTAAGGGACACAACAGTGAAAGAATAGAAAATTCAAGGGTTAAATGCACCTGCTCTTGTCCAGAGGCCTAGGCAAGCCAGTTTCAGGGCATGGAGGGGACTCCCCTTTAGCCCCTTGGGACCTGCTATTGCTGAAACTATCTCAGCCTTCAAAGCTCTTCTCTCTCCCCCACCATTTTCCAAGCATGTAATTATCATTCATTTGAATAACTGCTTCTAATATACATGTGAAAAGATTAAGGGAAATGGCAAATACAATTTGATAACTACATGAAAAGGTATTCAACCAAGTCCACAGGAGATTTATGGATTTACTATGTATGTCACCAAATTAACAAGACCAGACAAACCGCATGTACCATACTAATGCCATAAGCATTAAAATGATGCATATTATAAAGGGAGGAGCAGAGCACAATGCTTGTTCTATTCCGAATTCAATTTCATTGCCTGTGTTGAGCAAGAGGGGTGGAAGATGTAAGTGGGGACTGGATGGGACTCTAGGCCCCAGGGGTGGGGCTGTAGGTAACAGTTCATCAGAGTCATATTCTTACCCCAAATCTTACACTGAGGCAGTGGCCCTCTGGCCTCTGGCTTCCCATACTCCATCATCTTTTCCTGGTTCTGAAGCATTTTCAACTCTTCCTCATTCTCCCTAGCCAGAGGTGGTTGAAGACACTGAGAACACCTAGTTGGCAGAGAAGGTCTTGGACCTATTTGGTTGATCAGTATATTGATTGCTTTGGGGGAGCAGAAAATATAAAAGCTAGAAGAAAGCAAGCATGATAGACCCCGTTCTGAGAACAGAGATTTAGAGTGCCCAAATTACATAGTTTATAGAAAAGAAGGTGGAGGTACACTGGAGCAAGACTTTAGATGCCCCTACATGAGGAGCTCAAGGTTGGGACCTTTAAAATTATAAATAGGTATTATTTGGGCCTGATCTGAGGGCAGATACATCTATCTCCCTTGGCCAATACAACTTTCTTGTTTGAATTTTCACTCTTGCCATGTATATGCACTCTAATTTGGCCCATAGCAGCGATACTTTCATTATGCCAAGCTCATTAAGACATTTGCATTTGGGCTGGGGATTTAGCTCAGTGGTTCTACCACCTGCCTTGCAAGCCCAAGGTCCCAAGTTTGATCCCTGGTGCCAAAAAAAAAAAAAAAAAAGACATTTGCATTTGGGAGCTCTGCAAATACTGAAGAAATAAATGGATAACAAATAATGATTATA